GGTGAGCACTTGCTGGGTAGGACAAATAATCTATTAGAGCAAGGCTCTAGAAGCCTTCTCCGAGTCCCCTCTGAGACTTTGCTGAGGTTCCTATAGGCCCTCTTCACGGTGTTTTAAGATCTATTGGCATGTAGCTCATTAGCCAAGGAAAACACCTTCTTGCTTATTCTTCTCAGATGGAAGAATGTCAGCGTAAGAACAAGCTGGGATTTATGTCCACAGTGTTGACCGCTGTTTGGCCCTTGCTTGGATTTCACATTGTAAATTACACTTCTGAGTATGTCCTGCTCCAGGATTTGGGTAATTTATTGTTTGAGGTTATGCTACATGGAGGATCAGATGTAGTGATTCTATAAGTCTGGTGAGGGACATTTTGCAGAGCCTAGTGTTCTTGGCCTTGCTATCCTCCTTGGCTCTGATTAGGGCATTCTGGTCTGGAGTGCATGGGTATAGCTGGTGGTGGCATAGTTCTGCAGCTCACTGTTGGACTTTACTGGCAACAAATGATGAAGGTTTGTAGATTGGCTGGCAGCTTCTTTTGTCCTCTGTTTCTGTAGAAGGAGGCATAGACACTTAAAACATACTTCTTGGGACTATATTCAGCAAGTCTACAATTTTCCATAAAGTATAGAGAACACAGTCTGGTATACAGCACAGATATGTGCACAACACACAAATATCTATTGCATGTAGGCAATGGAGAGAGTGCTATAGTTTGGGTACAATTTCCCCCTAGAAGTTCATGTGCTAGAAGCTGAGTTTCCAGCATGGTGCTGAGGTGGTGGGAACTTTAGGATGTGGGAAATAGTAGGAAACAATTAGCTCATGGGGGTTCTACCCCTAAATGAAGTTAGTTATAAGTTGTACAGCATTTAATCCCAGTACTCAGGAGGCAGAGGTAGGCAGATCCCTGAGTTCAAGGCTAGTCTGGTCTACAGAGTAAGCTCCAGGGCAGCCAGGGATGTGCAGAGAAGCCCTGTCTCAGAAAAAAGGAGTTAGTTGTAAAACTGCAAGGCCTTGTCTCTCCTGTATGTGTCTGTTTCTACAGATGCTTCTCTATGATACAGCCAGGGACCCTCAACAAGATGACAGTGATGCTCTGTTAGTCTTCAGCCACCAGAATCATGAGACTGACAAGCCTTGGGTATGACAAAGACACACACTAGTTGTCTTAGTTGTTTTCTGTGACTGTGATGAAACACCAAGACCAAAAGCTCCTGGAGCAGGAAGACGTTGTTCACAGTCCATCACCAAGGAAGTCAGGACCGGAACTGAAGTGGAGATGTGAAGAACATTAGACTTTTTAAAATATGATCCAGGACCACCTTCCCACATCAATCAACATTCAAGAAAATGCCTCAAACTTGCCTACAGGCCAATCTCAGGGAGGCAATTTTTCTCAGCTGAGGTTCCCTCTGCCTAATGACTCTAACTTGTGTCAAGTTGACAAAAACTAGCTATCATTGCAAGGTATATATGAAATGAATACACATGCAAGATGTAATCCAGCAATGTTTAAATTGCATTAGAAAGAATAAAACACAACTTCACACCCGTTGAAACTGTTATTATCAGAAAAATGGGGAACAACAACTGTGCATGAGAATGCGGGGAAATCAGGACTTCTGTAGACTGTGGGTAGGAACGGAGAATGGCACAGTCACTATGGAGGAGGTTGGTGGTTCCCCAAAAAGCTAACCATAGAACTATCATGTCCACCAGCAGTCTGAGCTCCAGGAGAAGCTAGGTGGGAAATGCTGTGAATGCAGAGGGGCAGGTACTGCATGACCCCGCTGACGAGAGAGCTCTAAACCAATGACAGTCCCAGAAACGGGAAGTGAAACCCATTTGTTGTAAATTTGTGAGTGTGTGCTTAGTGTGCACGGAGATCCTTTGTGAGAAGATCTCTGGAGATGGGTGGTGCAATGGTTGCATACAGTGTAAACAGGTGCAATGCTATGCCACTTACGTGTTACGATGCAGTTGAGATGACACATCTTACTCTATTTTGTCACAGTCTTTACACACGAGAAGTCAAAGTACATGGAATCATTCAAATGGCCTTGTGTCTAGCTCATTCCATCTGTCCTTCCCCATGATACTTTTGGGTAGATAATATTTGGTGATACCATTGGCTACATTTTAGAGATAAGTAAATAAAGGCACAAGGACTCTGCCTCTTAGTCTATTATCCCCATTAGTTTTCTTTGTGGCATATACACAAGTATTGTCTTTTATTTGTCTGCTATCACTTACCTTCTACTGGCATATGCAGTTTTCTAAAGGCAAAGACTTGTGGGCCCTTCATGTCAGTATTCCCAAGGCATAGCGCACACCCAATGTTTGTACTGAATGAGAACAAATGTCCTTCTTCACCTGGCTAGCCTTTGAGCTGGCAAAGAGCAGGCACTCCTCCTCCTCTTCCTCACCCTCCTCCTCCTCCTCCTCCTCCTTCTCCTCCTTCTCTTCCTTGTCATCATCAGTGCTCAGAGTGTGTGGGAAACCCCACGAATGTGAGAGTCCTTCATGCTCCCAGGGCAAATAGCCTCATAACATCTATGGTTGGAGCAATGGAGACCCTTTTGAAATCACCCCATGTTACTGGCTCGAACTCTTCCCAGCATCTTACCTTACCCTATCTTAATCCTTGCCCCAGAGACAGCAGGTGACCTGGGCGGTACGATTTCTCCAAAGGCTGTTGTGCCCTGGACACCTCCATTACTCACCCACCTTTCCAGCACAAGGTGCCATCATGAATGAGCTTCTGCAGGGAGTACATGTACGTACTCCTCCCAGGTTCTGTACTGCCTGACCTAGCCTCTCTCCTGCTGTCCTTCAGAGATGGAGGGCAGGAACTCTGTCCTGTATCCAGCAGCATGGAGTGGTAAGGACAGCTGGGGCCTGCATTCAGTGTCTTATAGCATCCTGCAGCATGGCACAAGCAATACCTGACATCACTTATTTCTTGCAAGAAATAGGAAAAGGACACCTGAAACAAAATTCAACCTACCCAAACAAAAGCATTGAGTTGGCACATCAGCACAGGCTGTCATCAGGAAGCTGAGATGACTGGAGAAAGTAAGAGGGAAGGAAAGGTCCATTCCCACCATGGCACCTGTTTATACTGTCAGTTTCTTGGAAGAAAGCAGTACTTATGTGTGGAGTCAGGATAGATGGGTCCCAGTGACTTCTACACTGTCTAAGTTCAAGTGGATTAAAGCCTCTAAATAGCGTGGCTTCTTGGTCTACCTCATACCTGCACACATGTGGGAAAGCCACACTCTGATGTGGATTCAGGACACAGAGAGAACCAGGGGAACATCCCAGAGTCTGGGAATCCACAAGAGACCATCTTTAATCTCAGAGTGAAGATAGTTATCCATGGAATTGAAATTCAGAGTATTATACACTTAGTGTTGAGTCTTGAATTCAGGCATCTTTTTTTAATTTATGGAAACCAGAGAACAGATGGCTTTAGAGAGCTCCTGGAGTCTGATAAAATGTCATTCAATGATTGCTCTTTGGTTTCCCATTATGAGAAATCCAAGGAATTGCTAAGATTTATGGTAAGCAATATGAAGATCATTGCCAAAGAATTTTTCTTTGCAATCAATTGACTGTCTCTGTTATTCATTTCAAAGACATAGAGTTGAAATGGGAGCAGAGAATTTTGCTAAAGAGGGAAAAACATGGCTTTTTTTGAGGGGTGAGGATGGCAGTGTAAGCCAGTGACTTGGCTTGACCATGGGACTAGAATTGAGTCCTTGGCACATCCCCTCAGTACTCCAGAAGGGAGTCTGACCCTTGGCAGACTTTGAAGACTATTCTCATTAGGGTAGACATTTTCCTTCTCTCTGCATTTTGTATCTTTGCCCACTAGCTTGCACATCCCCACACCTTTGAGCCCTCCTTAGGGTACTCCAGAGACAGGGATGCTTATCTTATCTTCTATGTTCCAGAGGACCTTGTCCATAGTCATGTGATTACCTTATCTCATGGTAGGTGTGCTGGTTAATTTTTGTGTTTGTTTTGTTTTGTTTTTGGTCAACTTGGCACAAACTAGAGTTACCTGGGAGGAGGGCACCTCAGGGGAGGAAATATCTATCAGGTTAGCCTGTAGGCAAGTTTGTATGGCATTTTCTAGAGTGTTGATTGATGTGGGAGGCCCAGTTCCCTGTGGGCGGTGCCACCCCTTGGTGGCTATATGAAGGGTATCTGAACATGGCCTGGGAGCAAGCCAACAAGCAGTATTCCTCCACGGCTCCTGCTTTCTCCTCCTGTTTGAGTTCTTGCCTTGCCTTGCCTCAATGATCAACTGCTGCTGGAACATGTAAGCCAAATAAACCCTTTCCTCCCTAAGTTTCTTCTGGTCATGCTGTTTATCACAGCAATAGAAAACAAACTAGGGCAGTAACCTACAGTCTACCCATAGGACAGTAGCAGTAGAGACATTAATATTTCTAGATACAAGGAGCCCAGGCTCAGACTTCTGAATGCCTTTTTCTTTTGTTGTCTGAGCACAGGGTGAGTAGGAACCACGTTTAATATACTCTAGTTTCATTGTTCATTGTGTCCAGGTTAACAGAAGCTTGATTTGTGATTAGGGCCCTGAAAATATTTGTTAGAAGAAGTGGCATGAGTTAATCTGTTACCACGGCATTTACAAAATCAACTTCATTCTTATTACTTACCATTTGAAAGAAGTGGTGTTAATTGTTTATCCTTTGCAACCACACCCACAGTACACTTGCTAGGTCTTCATCTCAGCTCCTCCTGCTTTTCTGTTGGGCTCGGATTAGAGGACATATTGGACAGTTGTGATCAGAAGCTCCTTTGTGTGCAGTGACCTTCCCTGGCCCAGGGAATGATCATTGTGTATTTGCTTCAGAGATTACCCTTGTGTAATTATCATGCTAAGTTGCTATCTGGTCTATTCCTATTGTCATAACAAAATATCTTAGATTGGGTATTTAATAGAAAACAACTTTATTTCTCATAGTCTCACTTGCTGTGAAGTACAATATCAAGAAGCTGGCCGGTTCAGTGTCAGGCAAAGGCTGCTTCCAAATGATACCTCTTGACTTCATCCTCATGTGGAAGAAGGAAGGCACCATATTAACAAGGGGAACAAACAAAGTCCCTCAAATATCGCTATAAGGTTTTTAACCCCAATTGTGAGGGTGACAATCTCATGATCCAATCACCCCCAAAGGTCCCCTTCTTAATGCCATTGCCTTAAGAATTAACTTCCAACCTGATTTTTGGAGAGATACAAGCATTCACATCATACTGTTGAATGTCGTAAGTAAGTACCCAAACTGCAGAGACTAAGTCTAAATGCTAAAACTTGTAAAAATTACTTCCATATATCCCTCACAATCCATGTGGAAGAAATAATCTTTTACTTTCTGGCTCAAAATGCTCTCCTGTCACTACTCCTCCAGTTCTAAGTAACTCTATCATGTTTTAAAAGTTTTAGTGTATGTTGCCGATTCTCAGAGAGCTGGAGTCACTTTGTACTGCCATTATAGATTACTCCAGACTGTTATCAAGAGCAGAACTTTATTTCTCACACATATGGAGATTGAGAAGTCCAAGACAGATGTCTCAGAAAGTTAAAGCACAGTGTCTGCTCGCATGGTGGTGCCTTGTCTCTGGGTTCTCTGGAAGAGGGGCGCCATGTCCTCATGTTGCAGAGTCCAATTCCACCAGCCCTCCCTTCCTAGAAGTGTACCACTGATGATCTAAGCATCCCCCCAAAAGCCACCCCTCCCAGCATATCTTGCCTTGTTTCAACATAATAATTCTGGAAGGAATGCACTCAAACCATAGAAAAAGCTGGAGAATGCCTCTCATTGGTGTTTCAACTGTCCCCAAAGGGTCTCCTTCAAGCTGTCAAAGGATCCTGGGAATCACACAAGAACCTTCCACCTGACCTATAGTAGAGACTTTCCAGGGTCTGCTGAGAAGGTCTTTGGAACCATGTCTTTAAAGCAGGAGTTACAACCTTCCCATATCTCTCTCTTCCCTCGACTTGGCTGCAAAAGAAGCTTTGGGAAAACAAAAGAATGATGGATGAAAGAGAACTTTGTGTGGGTTTTAAAGTAAATAATTTCACATGATGTCATACCTGACTGTAATTTCTTACTGGAAGGAAAGGGGAAAAGATTAATGAGAGAGATAGAGAGATGGGGAGATAGAGAGATAGAAAGTGAGACACACACACACACAGAGTGAGTGAGTGAGAGAGAGAGAGAGAGAGAGAGAGAGAGAGAGAGAGAGAGAGAGAGAAGAGAATTGATCATTCTCCATCTTCCTCATTTCTATACTTTTCACACCCCCTGTGAGGGATTCACATGTGATTTCCCTTTGGTATACAGTAAGAGAAGAACTTTGGTGTACAGTAAGAGAAGAACTTTGGTGTACAGTAAGAGAAGAACTTTGGTGTACAGTAAGAGAAGTACTCCATATCTCTCACACTACCACTGCATAATAATGTGCTCCACATAGCTCATGCCTCCACAGATCAACCATAGCATCACAGCTGTTGCAGACTGTGTGTCTCACTAGGTGTCTGGATGGGAATGGACTTTTTGTCTACTTCTTAAAAATTTATTATTCACTTACTTTAGTAGTTATTCATTTATTTATTTTTGACATAAAAATTTGATCATTCATTCCAGGGTCATTTCCAGAGTATTGTGTTTGTTTGTTTGTTTGTTTATTGATAAGAAGAAAGACACTATGGCTAACAAGTACAGTGTTATTTATGGAGGCAAGGTTTTAGTTCTGTGGAGACCAGAGTGCAGACTACATCTTAATGGTTCCATGTTGTGTAAAATAGTGGCTTTGAGGCTGTGTGTTGCCTTTGGTGACTCCATTTCATGAGGTATCACTTGGCTACATTTTGAGTGTAAATCTGGAGAAAGGATGGCTCTGCATCTCACTGTGTATGTTAATACCACTGCCAGTGGAGTTCCAACCAGGTGACACTGAGCAGTAATAACCCATTCCCCAAAGTAAACAAAACAAGACACACCCATAAACCTGCCAGTAAACATAAGGACATATTATAAACACGTCAGAAAACAAACAGGTGTAAGAACCCAAGGAGCATAGCAATCGGAGGCAGACCATCACCCTCAAGGTGACCTGTCACCTGACTACCTAGTATACAATCAAGAGAAGGACAGTCAGGGGACTTCTGCCTTCCCTCAGGGCTTCGGCACAGCCTGCTCTCCACTTCTGACAAAGCCTACTTATCTGCTTGTTCATCTGTTCCAGTCCTGTCTTTCACCCTCCTGGTCTTATTCCTTGTGTCATGGCTTCAACTTAGTCCTGTGGCCAAGGATCCAGCCCCATGGTCTTGCAGCGGCTCCAAATTCCCTAGAAGTTCTTAGGTAGTTCTTTAATATTTTACCCACCCCACAGTCTCCTCACGTCTGTGTCAGCATCTGCCCGTGCCTCCAGTCAGGCCCCTTTACTCCTTGAACTCTGGTGGGAGCCGTGTCTTTAACTTTTGTGTAGCCTTCATGGATGTACACACCTAAACGTGTGTGTGTGTGTGTGTGTGTGTGTGTGTGTGTGTGTGTGTGTTAGTTTCTGGAATAGCATGCTTACCACAGGGCTAAATGTCTACAAGTGGAATTGTTGGGTCACAGGACAAATGTATGTTCAACTTCACAGAAGTTAACCCACAATGCTCTGAAGTGGGAAGACCATTGAACAGAGGGGAGCTGAGTTCTAACTTGAGTGTGAATGAATGGGTGTCTGTTGTGAGAGCAGTTTGCTCAGCCAATTTAAAGTCACACTTGTTTAGCACCTCACAGAATGCCTTTCCAACAGTGATGTCATGGGCTGTTAATTTTACAGAGTGGGAGCTGTGGGTCAGGGTCAGGCGGGCTGCACAGGCAGCCAGTGTGTATCTGGCTCTGGTTGCGGTATAAAGAAGGTGTGCACTTGGTCTTTGTCTTTTTGGTGACACCTGTGGAATTCCCTGGGTGCTGGACTGTCCTTATCACTGCCTTTGATCTTCCCAGGTTATGCTAATGAGGGGCTTTTTGGTGGACCCGAGAGAATGTTAAGATGGGAGCTGGCCAGATTTAGTCCCATCCACTGACCTTTCAGGTGGCTACATAACCAAGGGGTCAACATTTTTTAATAAAAAATTAAATTTTCACAATTTTATATATGCAGACATGTATTTGAGCATATTCATCCTCCATTATCTCTTATTTTCTCCATACCCTTCCTGATCCCTCCTTCTTCCCCAATTCCCCCCCTTTTACTTTTATGGGTTTTTGTTGCTGTTGGCTTTTTATTTATTTTTATTTATTTTTTTTGTGATCCACTGGGCTTAACTGTGTTGCTTGCATGAGCAAGGGCAAGGCTCATTTACCAGAGCATGGGCAGCTCACCAGTGGCCACACGATGACTCTTTGCAGGCAACCATTCACTGCCTAAAACTCCTTAGAGAAGTTCAGGGTCTCATGATCCGCTCCCAAGTCTGGGATAGAATGCTGAGGGGCCTGATCTTGCGCAGGTTCCATAGCTGCTATGTGTTCATGATTTACAGCAGCCACATCATGTCTAGAAGACAGCATTCTACACCATTCCTTCCCTTCCTTGGACTCTTCCTACATTCTTTTCAAATCCTTCTTGCCCTTTATTCTCGGGGCCTTAGAAGAGATGCTGTATATGTGCCATTCAGAGCTGAACATTGAACAGTCAGTTATGTTTAGTGCTTTGAACAGTTTTCAGTCTCTGCATTAACCACTGCCCACTCAAAAGGAAGCTTATTGGAGAAAGGCCAAGAGTGGCACTAGTCTATGTGTATAAACATAAACATTAAAGGCAGGTTGACTGCATGTCCATTTAGCACGCATCAGTAGCAAATTCCCTCTATGGTTGGTAACCTTCTAGGATGTATGCTTTTCATCAGGTTCAACATACCAAGGAATCCTCTTGTGAAGTGGGCCTCAGTTCAATAAGAAACTGGTTGGTTATCCCCCAGACAGTCATGCCGTGAGTGCAGCAGAGAGCACATCTTGCCTGCCAGTTCCAGGTTGTAGCATGCAGGGTTCATAGCAGCAAAAAAAATATTGATGGCTTTTCTCTTCCAGCAGCTTGCATAACATTTTCAGGCACTAAGAACACTAAACAACATTTTCAGCTCAGTTACATCTTCTCTTCGTGTTCTGTAACCAAAGAATGTGCTGACTTAATAACATTTTACCATCTAATTTTAGCAGGTAGTGAATAGCGATGGCAGTAGCTTGTACTTGGGCACCTTTGAGAATTCTCCAAAACTAGAGTTATTAAGGCAAACGCTTGTATTCCAGAAGCTCCCAAAAGTTAGGCTCAGCCCTTGCTCCCAGCATGCTAATTATAAAAACAAACAGTGGTGAGGAGCAGAGGTATTTATTCAATGTGGCCATATTGGGAAGAGGAACAAATAATACAGTCCAGTGCCCCAAGTCCATTACTGTGGCACTAACGTGAGCTTTGGGCTCAAATAAAGGGAGAGCTAGGGTAAGAGATTATCCCATAATTGCAGTTCTGACCTACCTTCTGTCTCTTGATGACTGTACCACATCTGGGTCATGCAAGGTCGTGAAGGTGGTCTGAGAAAGTTCTTGTTGCTTTAGGAGACAAGGTAGTTCTCAGGGATTATTGCTCTCGTCTAGGGTATAGCCTCACCCTTGTGAATAATTGTCTTTACCTGGGAAATAGAGTATGTCCTTTGTACTGTTTCAAGAATCCCAAGAGACCCAAGAGGGAAGGTTAAGGACAATAACTTATTTGCCTTCAGATAAAAAAAGGAGGCAGAAATATACAAAGCAAAGGCAATGACCTCAGGCCCAAGCAAGGAGTCAATGTATTTTAGAAAAGGCAACTTCAAAATGCATGTTTCAAGCACTGGAGACAGGGTTCCATTCATAGTGATCTCATCAACCAATCAAAGTGATTTCATCAGTCACAGTGATCTCATAAACCATGCCTATGCCATAAGCTCTGAGACAATGCAGTATATGGGTTGGTGAACACACCCATGTGTAGAGAAGGTCCTTCCTGGAGAGGCTGTGGTAACTAGGGAGGGCATCAAGGTTCTGTGAAGAAATATCCCTGTCATAACCCACTATGTGCATATGAACTGGTGCTTGTGTGAATGCAATAGCCTCAGGATGTGATCCAGGAGCCTGCGGGTTTGCCAAACTTTTATAAACCTTCTTAGGACACATATAAAGTCTAAATTCCAGAATGTGTCACAAAGCCAATAAAGCAGAAGATATACATTGCCAACTGTAAGCAGAAAGATATGACATTGGAGAAATCCTGAACAAAGACTTTAGTGGGTATGTAAATATCATAAATGAGCAATACTAAATGTTCCTGGAGTGATAATTGATGGCATTTAATGAATTTTGTTTGTGTATTCTAAATATGACTTATAAGAACAGAGTCTCTATTTTGGTCTTGTTGTTTAAGCAAGATAAACATATCCATTAAAGTCATGTGGAAATTTTGCATATGTTTCCTAGGGATATGTCAGTTTCCCTCTGCTGTGCTGAGTTGCTGGGCCTGAGGTCTATGAACAGCAGAACTTCCAGTGACTTCATCAGGGACACTGAGCTACCAAGGCATTTTTTCCTTGCTCTTCCCTAGAAAGCAGAAGTGAGGACTCTGGTGCATTGAGTCTGCTTATAAACACCAGCACCTATCAGGAAGTGCTGGAGGTTGGGCAACCAGTTCTACAGATTTTTCTAAGAAGTGTCTCTCCACACCATTTGTCTTACCTTTTATTGGTAGATGAGACACTGAGTTTTGAGATTAAGTCCTTGCTTTAGTTAACCTGATCTCCAGTAGAAGTGTGAGAGACACATTTCCTTGAGTATTTGCTGCCCTCTGGGATGAAAGCTGTAGGGTAAACATTGCCCCTGTGAAGAAATAAGAACTGGGATATCTTAGAGAAAGGATACACTGCACTGATTCAGCACCCACTCAACTCATGACAGGCATCCAGAATCCCCTTAAACAGAAGGAAAGCAAAGGCTTGAGTGCAGAGATAAAAGTTCTCTCTGGTCAAGGTCAAATTGATGAGAGGCTTGGGGAGGGCATGCCTGTGGTATGACCTGTGTAGTACATTCTGCCCTACTTTGGGTCCAGGTGGTTGACCTTATTCTTAGTGTCTCCATGATGACTGAATTTGGTTCTTTCTAGTGTTACAAATCACTGGGATCTCTAATTTATATTAGTCCTTAAATATTCAAGGGTCATTTTCCCTTTGTCCTGTTGGAGATGTTCAAGCTGGCTCTGGAATATATGCTGCCATTTTCTGCAGTCTAAATTGGGACTTAGAAAAAAAGGATCCTAAACATTGAACATTGCTGTCCTAGGATGATGGTGCACAATATGGTCCCCAGAGTACTGGAGGAACTGATAGCCTCATCTTGGTCCAGACAGTGGTGCCATTTACTGTGGTGTCAGAAGTTGGCACTATATTATTTTGTGCACTTTCCTCCATAGACATCTGTCATACTGGGGTCTGAGGAGCCTTTCCTGCCTCAGAAGGGGCCATCCTTGATCCACTAATTAACGGCAGCTACCTACCACCGTCCTGTCTTCTCAGTCCCAGGGCCAGAGACCAGAGCATGACTGCTTATATTCAGATTTCCTCAGCTTAGATACACATCTGAATTTCCAGAGAGAAAAACCAAGGCTCTGGAAGGAATAAGAGGCCACACCAACTATCTGTTGAAGTGTTTTGTATGGCTGGAAAGAGAAAGAAATCTGTCCTGGGTTTCAGAATGTGTTGGTTTGACTGTTCAAGGAAGGTTTATACAAGATGATTGGTAAAACCCCTTGCCTAGGACCTCAGTTTCTCCTGTTCATTACTGGATATGCAATGAAGATCTACACACTGACTCAAGACCTACCTGACCTTTGGATGCTAATCTATGCTCTTAAACTCATCACAGAGTTCATGAGTGCAGCATCCTTTTCGTATATAGGTGATACAATCTCACAATAGATATTGTAGTTATCTGGATGTTACAATTTACCCATCCCTCAAGTTCTGTAATGTTCCCTGAACCTTAGGTGTAGGTGATGTATTTTAGGTGTATCAATTGGCATTGGGTCATTTGTCACAGTCATTTGTTCTCTACATTTTGACTGACTGTGTCTTTTTCTGTTATGCTCTCCATCTGCTCCAAAAAGAAGTGAGTGTTACAAAATATTTTCTGTGCGTTTGACCTGGGTATTGTTGTTAGCTGTCTTCTTCTTCTTCTTCTTCTTCTTCTTCTTCTTCTTCTTCTTCTTCTTCTTCTTCTTCTTCTTCTTCTTCTTCTTCTTCTTCTTCTTCTTCCTCCTCCTCCTCCTCCTCCTCCTCCTCCTCCTTTTTCTCTTCCTTATTTTTCCTTTATTGTTACTCATCCTCTTCTTCTTTTTTACTGATTACGCATAGATTTGTCCATTTTCTAGTTAGTATCCCAGAGTTCCTGAATGTTCTGTTCCAGTGTGTTTTCTTCATTTAACATTGTCTTTTGGGGGAGTGATCTATATCCATCTTACCTTCAAGACAACACCTGTTATCTCTTCCCCTTGATCCAGTCTTTTGGTGAGACTTTTCTCTGAGCTTTTTGTTTGACTTTCCTGAGTGAGCTTTTCTTTCTTTCTTTCTTTCTTTCTTTCTTTCTTTCTTTCTTTCTTTCTTTCTTTCTCTCTCTCTCTCTCTCTCTCTCTCTCTCTCTTTCTATCTCAGTTTAAATTTAGATAAGAAACAAGGTTGCTTCACAAGTCAGTTCCAGGTCCCTCTCCCTTTCCCTCCCCTCATCCCGTGCCCTCCCCCCAAACCCCCCATTATCCCCTCATTTCCCCAGGGAGGGTGAGGCCCTCCATGGGGGTGTCCATAGTCTGTCATTTCATATAGGGCAGGGCCTAGACCCTTCCCCAAGAGTTCAGGGTGAGAGTGCACCTCACATTGTTGGATGGGAGTCCAAAGTCTGTGTGTATACTTGGGATGGGTACTGATCTGCTGCCCAAGGCTCAATAGATTACCTAGGCCTCCTCACTGACACCCAGATTCAGGGGGTCTTGATCAGTCCCATGCTGGATTCCCAGGCTGATGCCTGGGATTCAAGAGTTAACCTTTGTCTGGTCAGCTGTTTCTGGGGGTTAAACCAGCCCAGTCTTAATCCCTTTGATCATCAGTCCTCCCTCTCTGTTACTGGCTTTCTTGAGTTCAACTCAGTACTTAACCGAGGGAGTCTGCCTCTTTTTTGATCAGCCACTAAATGAAGTTTCTGTTTCCCAGACTCTCTGGCCATGGGATTGTAGGCTGGCACTCCCCATATCTATGTCTAAAATCCATCTATGAGAGAGTACATGCCATGTTTCTCTTTTTGTGACTGGGTTACCTCACTCAGGATGGTTTCTTCTAGTGCCATCCATTTGCCTGCAAATCTCAGGATTCCATTGTTTTTTTTCTGCTGAATAGTACTCCATTGTGTAAATGTACCACATTTTCTCTATCCACTCTTCGGTTGAGGGACATCTAGGTTGCTTCCAAGTTCTGGCTATTACAAATAATGCTGCTATGAACATAGTGGAACAGACATCTTTGTTGTATGAATGGGTATCTTTTGGATATATGCCTAAGAGTGGAGTTGCTGGATCTTGTGGTAGGTTTATTCCCATTTTTCTGAGGAATCTCCATACTGATTTCCAAAGTGGCTGAACCAGTTGGCACTCCCACCAGCAATGGAGGAGTGTTCCCCTTTCACCACATCCTCTCCAGCATAAATTGTCGTTGGTGTTTTTGATTTTAGCCATTCTGACAGGAGTGAGATGATATCTCAGAGTTGTTTTGATTTGCATTTCCCGGATGGCTAAGGATGTTGAGCACTTTCTCAAGTGCCTCTCAGCCATTTTAGACTCCTCTATTGAAAACTCTCTATTTAGTTCTGCAGCCCACTTTTTAATTGTGTCCTTTGATGTTTTGGAGACTTGCTTCTTGAGTTCTTTGTAAATTTTGGAGATCAACCCTCTGTCAGATGTGGGATTAGTGAATATTTTTTCCCATTCTGTGGGCTGCCTTTTTGTCTTGCTGTGTCCTTTGCCTTACAGAAGCTTCTCAGTTTCAGGAGGTCCCATTTATTAATTGTTGATCTCACTGTCTGTGCTAGTGGTGTTATGTTCAGGAAGCTGTCTCCTGTACCAATTCGTTCAAGGGTACCACCCACTTTCTCTTCTAAGAGGTTCAGTGTGGCTGGATTTATGTTGAGTGAGCTTTTCATTTCAAGTTTTATTTCATTTTGGCTTTTCTTCAGAGATCTCATCTCTTTATCAAATTCCATCTTTACACCTTGAATTGTTTTCATTACTTCATTCATCTGTTTATGTTTTCACCATCCTTATTTGGGAATTTGCTTATATCCCCTTTGAGTTCCTCAGAAACACTTACAATAGATGTTTTGGAGTAGTTGTCTTGTGGATTAGCTAAGTTGCTTTTCTCAGAGAACATTACAGCAATGGTGCTTATTTCTGGACAAAGAGGCGTACTGCCTCAGGTATTCTTTGGAAGACTCCTTTGTCTTGTAAGTTTATGAGCTTTCTGAGCCTTCTGAGTTTCATTAGCTCCTTGTAAGCTACCCTACTCCCTCGAAGAAGGAATGTTTCATTTTGAAGAAATGATATATTACCTGTTGTGTAGTCAGTATGATATCTAAGGTGGATACTGAGTGACAACTGGGTAGATGGTGTAGAAACACAGAATAAAGTAATGGTCATGGCTAGGATGATCACAGAGATGCATGATTTCATCATGTTTCTCAGAAGAAGTTATGAATTGCTTACTTGTAGA